ATTTAACTTGCATCTTCCAGGTACAAGGAAGTTAACTGCGGGTTTTTATGCTTCCTCCGAAGTAATGCCACGCCTTTCACAGGGAAGAAAAAAGACTTCCTTCTCTACTTTCCCTCTCATCCTTCCCCCCCTTAATACCCCGTCCCCTCCGAGAAGCCCCATGCCCCGACTACATTACGGTATTATTTATGTTTGTCTACAAATACGAACATCGTCAAATTAAAAACCTAAGTAAACTGCTTGGCACTAGTTATTCAGTTCTTTGTAAAGTGCCTACAGCCTATAGACCTTTTTTAAACCTATATTTCCTTTTTGCATTTTAGGATTACCCATCTCCAGGATTGGTTCGCGAGATTTTACTTGAATCTAATGTGGTCCCAATCTTTGCTGTCACATCCAACGAGAAACCAATATATGAGGTAATACTAAGCCGAGCTAAACTTGTTTACGCGGAGGAAGACTAAGTTATAATCCGAGTTACAATCCGAGATGTATGACTTTTAAAGTTTCAAAATGTCGCTAACATAATATAAATGCAATTTTCAACATGGGAACCCGAGGAAAGAATTTTCATTGTTCAACCCAATTGTGGCCATCTTTAATTCACTGTCTGTTCCATGTACTATGGGAAACGAGCCTCTTGGTCATGTATGGTCTAACCCGGTGTTCATTAACTCAGTATTAAGATGTTTTGTTAAGCGATCAGTTTATTACTCAGACATCGACTATAGATGAATATCAGGGTTGTTATATTGCAGTTATCATAGTATATCTTTTCACGCATTAGTTTTATTCTACGAAGTGAAGTTGAGATCTCATGAAGGATCTCAGTCTAGAATATTCCTGACCTCTTTATGTAACCTAGGCCCCAGAAAGTTGGGAGAAAGTTTCAGCCTGGTTTGCTTTAGTCTGATTAACGTTTATTCATTTTATACTGTTGTAATTTAGCAACTGGCGAAGTTTTTGGGCAACGAAACTTACGCCGAGGTAGGCGAGCTACGAGACGACTCGTCAAACATTGTGCGAGTTATTGGAGAAGCGTACAAGGTGTGTAATATTATAGAAATGAACATTTAGTCGCCAGTTTAGAACGCTAAGTTCTAGGGAGTTCGGATAAGGACTCTGTTTAGAGGCACTTCACGGGTTTTCGATTTTAAGAATGAAAATAATTGCACTCGCACGAGAGTTGTGATCAGTTTCCCAACGTTGTTATTTTATAGTATGACGTCATAAGGACTCGACATGCTACTAAGCATCTTGTCTAATGAAAAGCATATCATCACAGAACATTTATTTTGAGTTGGATCCTTCATATGTATTTTTTCCCACGATGTAATGCCTAATCGGCTGAGCCAACTTAAAAGAGATGATCGATGGTGGCGTCAATTTAGTGTGACACGACTTTTGGTTGCAATACTCGGACTGAAGAGATTTCATCTAAGCTATCGTGCACACAGTCCCCTTCGTGTCCAGTGGCTCATAAGATTATATGCAATGTTCATTATCAATTCGAATCAAAGCCAAAGTCAAAGCTTAGAGACTTTTGAATATAGTAAGAAAAATACTATTTGACCCCATCCGCCACCAAAATAGTAAAATACATGGTTTGAATAGAGGTAAGGGGCATGGTGAGGCTACTTCCGGCAATTCTGTTAACAAAAACCTCGTCTGTTAAGAGTCACGCTCTTGTACATACAATCTGATCCATAAAGATAAACAAATCTGAACAATCGTGATTGAAAATTGTATAAAAACACAAATGAAATAAAACCTGGGGGGTCCAATGGGAGATGGTTATCCCGAACAAGACTAAAACAACTGGCAATGAGCTCAATTTAATTTGTGTCAGCCGACGTCAAGAGCAATAAAATTAGCCCACATTTAATAAAAATCTTGGTCTTTAGTACACAGAGGTCTTATGAAGTAGAGATTGAAGCACTAAATATTAAACTCAAGAGCTGTTTATTTTTTATGGACTTCATCTGATAGATAAGCTCATCAATAATTTAATAAATCTTATAAATTTCTTTCACTCCATCAACATTAGAAAATAGCCCGCACAGTGACAATACGAGATGTTGACTCTGAAGGACTGAAGCTGCGTTACACTGCAGTATGTCCGTAAGTACCTTGCCGTTGTCATGTAACTGCCCATGAACTGTCCTTTGAGTAGCCTGCGAACGCAGGCGTATCTCCCACTGTCGCTTGTCTCCGTCGGAATCACGTCTGCGTTTGCAAGCTATCCTTTGACTTTCAAAGTGTAGGAATTTTAAAAACATTGTACGTACGATGCCATGAATAGTCATCAAAATTCAGGATCAAAGTACAACAAATTTCGTTTCACATATAGTCTAGTTGATGTAGGCTGCACATATTCGTCACAAAAGTAGCTTGTGAACTGATCCAGGCATCAAAACTAATTACTGGTAAGCCTGACGTATTCATGAATATACTGGACTGGTTCAGCTGCAAAAATAGTTACACTATAGCAAATTGCACCAAGTTTAGCCTGTGATATATGCGAGGACATATCATGTTTTTATTTTCATCATTTAAATATGGAAATAGTACCTGTTCCATATTCCGCCTTCCTGTTTAGATATTAATTTGTGCTCCTTTTTTTTTCAGAAAGGGAAAAGTTTACCAAGACACAAAAACATGTACTGGTGTTGAATTAGGAGATACGGTAAAATGGAATGCCATTTTTACAGATAGCTCTCAATCAATCAATCAATCAATCAATCAATCAAT